TACTATCTGTTTGGATGTATCATTTTACTTATTTTTTTACAATGGTAAACTTCTCAAAGTATATAACAAAACAAAAGGGCCTAAGTAGTTCACTAATTGTTTAATATTTAAGATATTTTTTGATGTTTTTCCAGCCTAATAAATAATTTTCTTGTCTTCAGAGACTTAGTGAAAAATGGCAGGAAAGGTTTTTTACTGTGAACTCCGAACAAGTCGATACTGCCTGTCAATTTTCCCGAGGGCTTGAAGATTTAACGCTGATTTTACGTTCTGGCCGGGCGTCCGTGGTTCACTCTTTCATAAATTTCCGGAACGTCAGAAGATATTACCGGCAGTCAATGTATTATTTCTTTTTATTCTTTCTACCTTTTTCATCTCAAATAACGGAGAAGGGGTTTGAGAAAACAAGCCAATTTTAGCCATATTTGAGCCTTTGTTTGTTCGAACAGGAGAGAAAAACAAATAATTGGGCGATATAATGGTATAATTCTCTTTATCCGTATGACCCAATAAAAGTTCCTCTTCGATTCCCATCCCGTTCTTAGAATCTAACGCTCAGAAAATAAGTCGTCCAGGGAACGAGAACATCTCGACAAATTAACTTAGCTGACTGAAGAGCAAACTATTCCAAGAGAAGTGAGCCGGATTGTTTTAAGAAGGTGAGAACTTAATTAGAACGATCTCAGATTTTATGTCCTAGTTACTTTAGTGTAAACCATCAGTAATAGTTTTCAAATTTCTTACCAGTCTTGTTGCATAATTTATTGATGCTTAAATCAATATGAACTATAATATAAAAACTTGCGCTCTTTTAAAAGTTTTAGTTTCTTTCTCTGATATTACCGCAACCAACAAATGCGATTATCAACATCTTCCGTTTACAGCCAATTCATGGATATTGTAAATATGAGCTAGAACTGAAGAAAATACTATAACTGCTAGGTTTTTTACGGATAAAAGATCGCCTTGCCAAAACAACGTTTCTATAATTCTACGTCGTGTGTAAAGTAACGGGCATTCAACAGGACCGTATTAATTTATTATTCTCAAGGCCGGTTTAAATCAAAACCGAGGATCTTAGAACAAATATTTTGCCTCTAATATAATTCCCTTGTTGCAAGCCGAGTAAACATCCTCCTGGAGCCTCCTCTAACGGCAAGTCTGGAATAGAGATCAATATCGGCACACTGTTTGTAGAGTGGGATACAAACCGAATTTAACACTGATGGTAATTTTGTTTGACAGTTCGAAACGACAATGAACAATGGACCTGGGAAAACCTGTTAGTATTTTGTATAGGCTTGTACGGCAAACTCTGAATATTTCCCGTTTGCTTCCTCATTTTGGTCGAGGAGAGGTGAATCGCACTTTTGCCCTTTGTCCCGGGTTGTGTTTATTCATGATTTTCTATACAGTGGTTTTAAGGTATGGATTGTGCCCGGCCGGGGAATTAGGGCATCGGCATAGACGAAATGGTCTGTTAAATATGTAGGTTTATGTTATAACTGACAGTGATAAATGATTATCCATTACTACGCATTTATTATTTGAATAGCATGTAAGTTAACTGTCACAAGGCTGTGAAGTCTCGAAAATCTAAAAATTACTCAAAATTTTGATTATTACTGACAAGCACATCTATGAGACGCTCAGTAATCCGTGTTGTTTAGGTGGTCGGGTGTTCACGGATAAAACGAAAACTGTTGTGCTGATCATCCACTCCAAATGGAACAATGATCGAATCAATCGTTCATAACAAAAAATACATGATCACATATTAACAAGTTGAAATACCACAAAAATACACTTTCAATGTTTTTGTGATACTTGTTCATTTCATTTAATAACAGGGTTAATACATTGAGTACGAAAGCACTTTCACATTTCACGGCGCGGAACGATGCTAAGCCCTCATGACGTGGGGTCGTTGCGTTCGGTCACTTTCGGACGCCGTGTTTTTAAGACGTCTGCATTTTTTTTTACGAGGGTTCGCAACTACAGATTTCATATCAAACCTCAGGGTGCCGGTGTTTTTGAATAAAAGCCCATTTATAAGTATGTCGGGTTCGAATGCAGGGCCGCTGGATTCGAACCCGGGAACTTTACCTTACAGTGATGAGCGCCGTGTCAACCCCTAAACCGATGCGGCCACCTACGCCCCCGTCTGAATTATTATGGCCCCACAAATGAATATTATAGTTATTGAAATAAAATTACTACAGGAAATGTAATATATTTTATTTTATAATATATTTTAATAGAATGTAAGGGGGGCGTCGGTGGCCGCAACGGTTTCGGCGACCATCTAAACAACACGGATTACTGAGTGTCTCATAGAAGGGCTTGTCAGTAATAATCAAAATTTTGAGTAATTTTTAGATTTTCGAGATTTCACAGACTTGTGACAGTTAACTTACATGCTATTCAAATAATAAATGCGTGTAATGGATAATCATTTATCACTGTCAGTTATAAGATCAACCTACATATTTAACAGCCCATTTCGTCTGTGCCGATGCCCTATTTCCCCGGCCGGACACAATCCATACCTTAAAACCACTGTATAGAAAATCATGAATAAACACAACCCGTGACAAAGGGCAAAAGTGCGATTCACCTCTCCTCGACCAAAATGTCGAAACGGGAAATATTCAGTTTGCCGTACAGGCCTATACAAAATACTAACCGGTTTCCCTGCATTCGAACCCAACATACTTACAAATTTGCTTTTTTTCAAAAACACCGGCACCCCGAGGGTTGACATAACCTCTGCTGTTGAAAACCCTCAAAAAAAAAAAAAAAAAAAAAAAAAAAAAAAAAAAAAAAAAAAAAAAAAAAAAAAAAAAAAAAAAAAAAAAAGAAGGTAGGCAGATTAAAATGATCGGAAACGACGAAACATGTTCATCGTCCGCAGTCGCCAATAGGAAAACTTTCTTTTACAAAAAAACTATTTAAAACATGATCATCTGAAATACCGTCTGCTCTGTACGAATAGAACGGACTTATGAACTGACGATTTAGTTTTTTTTAATGATTAGAAAGAATGCTACTAGTGTGTTTAAACAATTATGATATAAAATTCAAGTGATAAACATGATTTTAAGCAAGAGAGATTCTTATGTCAAAATGGGCTGAATTAATTAAAACAATAAAATGCTTTTATTTAAGAGTACGATTATGTATTATCTTTTTCGTGCCGTTGTAAAATTTAAATACATTTTTTAGTAGCAGTAATACTTTTAACACAAAAAAAGTTTATTTCTTTCACTGTTGAATTATTCCATTCTGTACCGTTCCCATTGTATATCCTCAAAATGGAAATTGTTATCTAGACGCGTTGTTGTAATGAACAGAAACGCCTAACAACTTTTCCCAAGGTGCCGTGTATGAGGCATTGTGGTGAATCGAACCGCGTATGTGATAAATGGAGTGACGGTAGCTCTACACTTCTCAGTTCTGATCTTTCTTTGAAGTTAATTATTCAAAAGTAAAATTTCACTATAAAAACCGTTATCTAGATGCGATGTTATAAAGTACAGAAACGTCTGACAACTTTTCCGAAGGTGTCGTCGATCAGGAAATGGGGCGAAACGAACCGACTATGTGACAAACTGCTCAGTCAAGGTCTACCTTCCAAGTTAAATTATTCGAAAATAAAATCACACCGTAAGCAGTTTTCGGTTAAAAATAGAGCTAACAAACAGGACGGATTGCAAAATACAATAGATAGAAAACAGAAAAATATTTTAAGGTTAATAACTTTAAAAATCTATCATCGTTATGTATGTATGTATGTATGTATCCCAATTAATTATTATTTATATCTAATGTTTTTGGTTGAGATGAAAAATTTGTGTCACGAGCGGGATGCGAACCGACGATCTTCGGCTACATACACCACTGTACCAATTGAGCTATCGTGACTTCGAACCCCTCGGACACCAACTCTCCATCTCAACCTGCAACCGTTCGAATTTTCTCACTTTTTGCCATATTTTCATTTCCTTCAGTTGTGATGGGGAGTTGGTGCCCGAGGGGATCGGGAGTCGTATGTACAGTTTATATTACATTTAAGCACACACAGAGAGAGAGAGAGAGAGAGAGAGAGAGAGAGAGAGAGAGAGAGAGAGAGAGAGAGAGNAATGGAACACAGAAACAGTGAGGAAGAGAGAATAAGGGATCAAGGGATGAAAGAGAGAGAGAGAGAGAGAGAGAGAGAGAGAGAGAGAGAGAGAGAGAAAGAGAGAGATAGTTTAACGACGTTCGTAAACAAATTCTTACCTGTTAATGATTAAATAACATAATATATAATGTTCGGAAGCGAGAGCATAGAGCTGAGATTGTACAACATTACTTACCGACATACCACGTGCATTTACGAATATTTATACGAAATAAATCTCTAATATCTTTGCATTAGCTGTTTGTAAGGCAGCTCGGCAAGATACATGGTAAAAAATTAGAAATACATTGGAAAAGTAAAGGCAACGTCCTGTTGTCTTGAAATTATGCATATGGAGTTTGTTTTCACTCATAACGACTAACAAATTTCACAAAACTTTTAATATTAAATCTGTAATCTTTGGAACGCCGCATGTAGCGGATATCAATTTGCGGATTTGCAATTGAAAGTATCTATGCAAAATAAATAAGTAAATATAATACATTTTAGAAATATATTAGCATTGGCCAGACAAAAATAGAATCAATATGAGGGATACAAATAAAAACAATAATACGGCAGAAACAGAAAAGGCACTTCCCATTTAAAGATTTTTAATATGTATTTTAGTTATTTCTGTTTATATTTTTGGAATTGTTCTTCCGTTTGTCTTAAAATCGATGGCTATATAGTTTGTTTTTATATAACGAACAGCAAACAAATATCTCAAACCTTTTAATAATTAAATTCCGGTAGTCTTTGAAAGACGGCATGCACCTAATAGTGTTCATTAGATGTTGTAATGTTTGACTTGTTAATTAATAATATTTATGCAAGATAAATTTCATTCCTGTAATGGAATCACTGGTCGCTTTCTCTACTGTACTATGGCAAACCGCACCCATTCTACTCGTATATTTACAAGCCCTGAATGTGTGGTTCTAGAATTTCTCTTAAGTATACTCCAGAGACTACTTCTTTGATGATTTTAAAGACTACCGTTTAAATGACCAATGAACTCGAAGAAACGTGTTCGAATCGATCACTGTGCGTGTCTGTAATTGTCGCCGAGGATTAATATTCGGAGGGGAGCTAGATAAGCGAGTTTTCTTCCCAGAGTTGGCGCATGTACTGGCGCATAGAGCAGGAAGGGGGTGAAGCCGAGGGCATTGGCGAGGGAGGGGGTGGTTTGTTTGGCACCCCTCCGCCAGTACCACATCGACTTCCACCCCCATCTATGTCATCGTAGGGAGGCCCGACGGACCCATACGAAACATGAATATCATAGGTGAGTCGCTGACATTTCCATCCGGCTTCTCGGACATGCATTTTTGTGCTGGTTCACGATTTGTGAATGGTGTTCGGACAAATTTGGCCTACTGGCGCGCATGCGTCGCACGACGCGCCAAATTCTGCGTTTCCGCAGCGGTGCCTGTGAAGAGTTCAACTCTCCGGGCTTGCCGAGGTTGACCTAGTTTTCTCGGGCCTTCTCTTCTTTCCGGCAAGTTCTCTCACCGACCGACGGAAACTTGATTCGCCCTCTAAATTGCACTTAAATCGCACTTAAGAAGGCTTTGGAGGAGCGTTCCTCCCCCGTCTTAACAAACGTTCTAACTTTCTTTCTTTTCTTTTCAAGAAAAACAAACGAAAATGTTTTACTTTAGTGTGTGTACGATTGTTCCCCCTTCTAGCTAGGCAATCAAAGAAACTTAACTTCGTAAGTATATAAGAATTTTTTTACTTCTACGTATAATTTGGCTTATTCACAGATTTAAAAGTTTCTGTGTAAGGTTTAGTCAGTCAATACAACAGTAAGTTTTTAGAAGAAATAATATAGTATATTATCCGCACACATTCGTTGCTGGTATTTCGCGACCCTTGCATACGTTCCATCCAGTAAGCTGTCGACAGCTGTCATATCAGCCTCGAGCGCGTACGTGATATAAACTCCAGCTCATTTTTAAAATTTACGTTCCTATGAAATATGTGATTTCCTTTACCCTTTAAGCAAAGTATTAGTCTATGTCAGAGCAGGTGGGAATCTGATATATTAACCTACTACTCCCTGGCACACCATAAATTCGCCGAGTAGCACTGAATTTTAAAGACCGAGCTTCTAGTGTCTATCACCTAGTCCTCAAGAAAATTAGACCGTACACCATTCCACCGTACTAGATCGATGAAGATATATCGGCTTAGAATTTTAATTCAGGATCACGTGTTTGACTCGGAGCGATTCGAGAAAAATCCAGAATCTGTAAGGTTGGTTAAATTGCCCCTAAAACCTTTGATCTGATTCTCATGCTACGTGAACACTAAAATCTAATCGAAAGCTCCTGCACGGAAAAGAAAACAATCGAACTCAGCCAGGTTGTATAAGTTATTTTACTGTCGTTACCACCACACTAAGGTCGTTCTCGTGTTCCTATATGGGTTAGAGATCTAATTAGTAAGTACACTGATTTTTTTAAATAATGTGTGTGATTATCTATAAGTTATATATGTACGGTAGTTCGGAGGAGTTGTTGAGAAAAACTGTATAGTTCTTCTAAGAAAAACCTCCGACAATGCCTAAATCCGACATTCTCGTATTTGACACGTTTAGAGGCAGTAAACATTTAAACCTGACTCTTGGGTCTTTACAGCCGCAATTTAATATTTAACCCCATTTATTAACTTACTATAAGCTGATATTGACTAAAAAAACTTATTAATGTTTGCAATATCGTCCATTGCACTAATAGAAAATCGAATTATTTTATTTACAAACGCGTTGACGTTAGGCAAGCTTTTAATGTTGTATGTAGTTTTTCTGTGATTTTATGAAAATGCTGTTTAAAAAGCTGATTGATAGATGGAATTTTTGTTTTTTTGATATACGTACAAAGTATTAGTTTTTGTTCTTTGTTGAATCTCCAATCTATTTTATGAAAGTTACATTATAACGTAACTTTTTGGCCTGAGTTTCTAGGAGGATGAGGCATGCGGAAGGCTATTTCAAACGCTACTTACTGTTCTTTTTTTATTATTTGTATTATTATTGACAATTTATTTAGTTCACTATGCGTCTTTATATGCAATAACATTACAATTGCACCATTTCGCTATTCATGAGAGTGGTGTCCTTTAGAAAATCCAAGTTGAATAAATTAGGCCGTTTAAAATAGTAGTTTGTTATAATGTTTCATGTTTTAACTTTCTGTTTGACGAAGGCTGATTTAGAGCTACACTCCAATTTTATATTGCAAACGACAGATTTTTATTAGCGATCGTCTAGCATGTATGATCTATTTTTAATTTTACATCTTTTTTTCATTATAACTTTTAAAAGGCTAAAAGAAAATTTTACCAGTTCAGTTTCAACTTACTTTTAACAATTTTAAAGCACTATGCTGTGATTTAAGTCTTTAATGAAATTATGTCTAAAGTAGCTCTACAGCAATGTTACGCACCAACTCATCTACTGGCAATATCGAAAGTTCTAAAGTGAAATTGAGTTAGATTAATAAAAAAAGAAGTGTTTTTTTACTGAGCTTAAAGCTTTGTGTCATATCGGTTGGGAATAAAACAATATGAGAAATTTCCTTTCAAAAATAACCCAGAGGTAAAAATACTCCAGTTCCTTTTTTCACTGAACCTTTCAGATGTTACAGTTTAGGGCAGGAAACATTTTTTTAAGTAATGAATTTCAGCTGATAATACTTTTTTCGAGGCTCAGGAATAAAATTTGATAAAAGAAATAAAAACAAGTCAGTTCAACGTAATGACTAATTAAATTCACTAGTTTCGTGGTCTGCTTGACCGATTAATATCTTACAATTAATTAAGGTTTTCAATTGAGATAAAAAAGTCGAATCCCGCTCGTGCCATTGACATTTTTATCTCAACTGAAAACCTTAATTAATTGTAAGGTAATGACTAATGCCCTCCGTGCAGTTATTAGTCTGTTAAATAGTTGTCACAGTGATATCAATAGCAGTATCAACCACGGTATGTATGTGATAACGTATAAAAGTGACAATCTGCTTGAAGGGAATGGAATAGATGGTAAATCATGATAGAATATGATGAAACGTTTATTTGGTAGTGTATTTCCGCTCACATATGGTTTCCGTGTCTCAGTTTTGGAATGAAAATGGGCATTTAAATAAGTATCCATCCTTCAATGAAAAAATATATTCGGAAACGTTTAAAGAAAACAATCATTCGCTACGTAAACGTGCGTAGCTAAACTTCGTCAAAACTTCGTTTTAATTTTAATCAATTCGGTTGGGATAGATTATTAATAGTACCCTCTTATAATCTAGGGTTGCTTAAGGTGTTAAGTAGAACTTGATAATGCTCAATTGTAGTTGTAAGTTCAGTGCAGGCGAACAAAGAACATCGTTCATTGTCAATTGAAATATTTCATCACCTAGATTATTGCAGAAGGAATGTAATCCTCGTAAAATCCAACTTCCTATTGGAATCGATAAGCATTAACGGTAAAGAAATAAATCAAGGATTCTACAATACAGCTTTATCTTATTGTAACATCGATTTATAAAGATTAGGGAGTAAGATTACACATCTGTACATTGTTCTAATCCTCAAAGGTGTAAGGAGACATTTTCACGTGCTGCCTAACCTATTGAGGATGTGATTGTTGAAGGATTTGGTCTATTTCGGTCTTGTCCTATCTTCTGTGTTTTGGTCTTGATTGGGTTTGATCGTTTTGTACGTGGCTAATCCATATTATAAACCTGAAATGAATGGGAGAGCGAACTACTAAATACTTTATTAAATATGTTTTTAGTGTAATAAATCAATAATCGCATTTTGTGATGTCGACTGGAGTCACCCCCTGTTTCCTGCCTGTCCCCAAATGCGTTAAATATATTTTTATGATTACGGCCTTTATTACAGTAATAAGTGCTGAAGACTGACCATCACTAAATTCAATAATATATTTTATTGTTTTCAATTCATGAATTTTGTTGTTTTCTTATGTTTTAATCTGTTGAGAGCCACCGGGCATAACTTGTCAAGGAATCATCAAGAATTTCATCCGCGCTTGCTTATTTCTTTAATGACAATGAAATTAGTCGAACTTTGGTTTGTTGCCAAGCACTTCTTACGGTTTGAAATTGTTCAACGTTGATCGGTCACAAATTTTGAATTTCAACATCTAACGACCGATTATGGGGCTGTAAAGTCCAATTATGTTGAAGTGACCGAACAACTTACCATAGTAGGTAAAAAACATTTTTTAAGCAAGACACAAGGTTGCTATTCGATTGTCCCACCCAAAAACACCCTAAATTATTTTTTTAAATTAATTCAAAAAATAAATTTTCGTCTTCCAAATGGCTTCATTATCTTTTTCAAAAATACGTGATAACCTTTGAACGAATATATATATACCAACAGAAATTTTAGGAGGGTTAGGACCGTGAAACCACAACTTATGGCACAAACTTCTGCTTCGTAAGTAAATTAGAATCGGACAAATAAATTGAAACTGTTTTAAAGGTGTTTTTTAATTGTTAAAATGTTTCTAACCTACTTCATTGAAAGCGTAGTTTGGTTTTTGTAACGTTTTGTATATTTGTTATCATTCAATACCATACTATGACCGTTTTTCTTATCCTAGATAAAAGCTGCTATGTAATAACCTTGAACCTTGAAGCATATGCATAACCAAGGCGGAAAAAGATACTAAAAAGATGATACTTAAAATTCACTAAATTTCAGAAAAAGGTCAAGAGAAAAGCTAAAATTACATAATTATATTAATCTCATAGGGTCCATTGGTAAAAACGCTTGGACACGTGTCAAATATGTTTCGGCTTAACATCACCAAAAAAACTTTTGATTAAAATCGTTGATCCCTCGTCGATAGATCCCATCGTCCATACTCGTCAGTATCAGTGTAATTTTAAAATTGACATCTTCCAGTTTTAAAGTTTGCGATGGCATCACTGTACATAGGGTAGAATAGGTCTCTTTTTGGATTTTCAGGATTGGACAAAATCAACAACTTTTATTTCTTAATTACTATTCAATTCATGACATTTCTTCTCACAATCTACCTACACGATTGAATAATCGTTACAGCTAGTGAAATGTCCACAGTAATCCTCTCGTTAATTATCCGTAAGAAGTTCCAGGCGTCATCGCTTGTCAGTGATAACCGGGAGGAAATTGAACATACATAAATTTCAAAACAGCAAATGGTTTATTGGTACTTGCTTAAAGGAAGTAGTGTGTTAACTGTTTTAAAATGAGACCTATTCGTCTTTATGCTAG